TTCTGTTGTATGCGTCCAAGCTGGACACACGATAAAGATTCCTACAAACTGAACCACCACACAGCACATGTAGTTTATGCTATTCATCCATTTCTTCCATTGTTAATTAGAAAACACATCAATTGTTAGCTCAGTCGAAATAGTTTGAATGATTAAATTCGCTCAGTCTTCGTATTATTTGCTAAAATTTCAATAGAATCATTTGAATCTTCTCAAAGCTTCTTTCTTGATTCTATTAGACGCGACAGACCAATATGCAATGTTGCACTTTATGAAGGGCTTACATGAGCAAGGCTTCACCTTCGCTTCTCATCTTTGAAATCCTATTTTTTAATCTATTCTTTTTCTAAGTTTTAGAATAAGTCACACCTATAAGCCATTACTATGAACACACTCAGCATATTTCTGATTTTTCGTATATTTTTTATGTTACTTTATGACTGTATCTTTCTAAGTTGGTGAATCTTTTTAAGTCGGCGGTCATTTCAAATGCTAGTATCAAACAGTTCGAATTCAAACAATTTATTTAAATGATAATAATATAAGAATATTTATCAATACATAGTCAAATTATATCTATTGCCATTTGATAACTAAAATGTTCCTGAACTTATAATAAGGCAAAATAATACAACTTATGTACAAATATGTGTCCTCACTATATTAGGAGTCCACAAAATATGCAAATAAATTAGATATAACAATAACAATTTTCAAGGTAATTACAAAGTGCGGTGAATTACTCGTAATAAAAATACATGAATAAATGTGGGGTCGAGTATGGATAATAATGTATGCCGTAATTGTTCAAATAATGTACAGATTAATATTGTGCTGGCATCAACTCCTGAAACATAGCTTGAAGACGTAAAAGCAGAACTATTGCGTTAGTAAGGATATTTTTGAAAAACCTACCTAATTTGATCAACAACAAAGTGGTCGGATAGGACGCGGATGCAATCCAAGAGGTGGAGGCAGAACGACGACAGGCGGACGTGGTGGGGGTACAAGTATAACCGGTGGTGGAGGAGGGAGGAGCAATGGAGGATGAATAGGAGGAGGAAGAACTATAGGTGGAGGCGGTGGTGGAGGCACAATTAGAAGTGGAGGCGGAGGTGGAGGTAGCACTCCTAGTGGAAGTAGTTGGGGACGGGCTACAGCTGGATGAAGCATAACGATTGCAGTAATTATCACAAGGATTCGAAGCATCTGGAAAGGTTATGAGTTTAGCGGGAATATGAAAAACTTTCACAAATGACGATATTCGGTGACTGGAAGATAAAAGTTCTTGGCAGACTCTGTAACGCTCTCAATCCCAAGCGGTCCTTAAATATAGTTACTTTAGTTGTTCTGTGTGACCTAAATGTACTAATTACCCCTTGCGGCAGTGCAGTTCGTGAAATATAGGTCACCTGTGGTATCCAGATAGCCGTGACATTTCACAGTCACCTCAAATGAACCTTTCTCACAAAATTATCTCAAAGAGTGTTAAAAATAAGCCACTGGATAAAGTTCTCAATTGAAAATAGGGAACCGATAGCGACAGTAAAAAAAAGTTGCTGGTTTTTGATGCTATATGGTCATTGCGTGTGGAACAGTTTACTGTGGTCATATCTTCGATGCTCAGGTGTTTTTTTTTTCACTACGACTCCATTGTAGCCTTTTTCGTAAAAAATCGGCTTATATGATCAAAGGCTTACTACATATTTTTGAAACTTTTTACAACCAAGTCTTGCACAGAATTTCAAGTGGTTTATGCTATACACGCTTTCTACCTGTGCTGTCAACTTTAACTTCGTTAGAAAACGCTGCCTACTCCCATTATTTCGTAGTATCGTCAGTGCTGTATGGTAAAATAAGTCGATCATTTTTAACGTTTGGTCGTCAGTGATAGAAGCGTGGGCAATAAGTGATTGGTGAAATGCTTTGCCTTTTATAAAATGATGATCTATCTATCTCCTATCGTTCTTGTCCGATTAGAATGGATTTGTTGTGCTTATAAAAGGAGGTTACCTACACGCAAATATTAAAAACACATATGTGATTTAATTAGAACTTTTTATTAGTAATAGTAGTAATGCAAATAATGTATTATAATAATATGCATGCTATCAATGCTAATAATTAATTTCAAAACACCTTTAGATTTATTTTTTCTGGTTATTCCCCAAAACTATTAGGTTATCTGATTATATTTTCTTGAATACACTTAACGTACAAATGTAGGAACCATCATCATTGACGACCTAGCGCTATGATGGATCTTTCTTGCCATAGACATAAGTTGTTAAAACAGTTTGCTGCGTTTTTCGTTTTATTAACTTTTATTAGCGCACTTTCGGAACTTGCGGACAAACCAAACAGGTGACTTGTTCTAAGAACGTTTAGAAGGCCCATCGTAGGCAGTTTTTTTAGTCATCGCTTGCTTTGCCGTGCTTCCATATTTTGAGATCAAAGCAATTAATCATGCTTAAAGTGGGACAATTTTCAATTAGACGTAACGAATTACGGGGATAAGTTTACTAGTAGACTAATGCCCATCCTTTGTATACTTTCATGAAAAGGAACGCAAAGATTTTCGCAAGAAACCTACGAATGTGGCGGGAACTTTTCCGACAACCAGTAGGTCTTGTAAAAATCGCAGTGTCTTAAAATTTGTAGATATATTTTCTTTCGTGAGCCGTTGCTCTCATGTGAGCAAAGACTCATATCATATTTTCTGACCCAACCACATATGTTAGCACGAAAACTTTCTCAAAAACCCTCAAGTGTTCACAAATTTACAATAGATTTGCATACTAAAGATATAATACATTTTAAAGGATTTAAAATATTTTGTGTAAATAACATGAAAGATTTATTTTGTGTTCCCGTGTGATAGTACATGAAGATGAGGTACGTAA